CTCAGAGTTGCCTAGTTGCCTTGAGCCTCATATATCCACAGTAGTAACTTCCTTTGTAATACACCATTTATTGGAGTTCTTCTCATCTTTGTCTCACTTTTACACTTCCCTACTGGCATTTCCTGAGGTCATGTCCCAAATAACAGCTTCTGAGGAAACCCCAACTAAGACAGGAACCCTCTGAAATAGGCATTATATCTGTCTTTAAAGAGGATAAAATTGATGAATAGAGAGGCTTAACAATTTGTTCATGATCGTGGAGCTATTAAGTGAAGGAAGTAAGATTAAAAAGCCAACTCTGCAAAGCCAGGTCTCTGTGTACCTTTGTACGTGGCTTCTCAGTAAGCAGGCAGAACAATTTCTCACTAAGTGTTCACCTAGTTATGTATAATCCTGAAAAGCTCAAGTGGAGAGGTAATGTTAGTTAAGGGTTACAGGAAATACTTGCAGTCTGTTTCTGTGAGTGGTCTGAAATCTGCTTAACAGATTAAATAGAAGGAGCCAGAAACCCAGTACTTGAAATCAATACACTCCCCCAACCACGTTAAGAATTGTGTTCAATGAATTTAACTGTGTTGTCATGTCATTTACCCATAACACCAGATTGCATAGAAATATTCTAAAGGAGGCATCATGATGTATTGGTGAAGATGTTATCAAAGGCTTTCTTATCACACTGTAATCGTTTTTAAATGAAATGTTTTTATGAATCAGTTGTTAGTATCAGGAAGAATGGTTCCCTCTTTTGAGCAATTGTCTGGTTTTTGTACTGTGGAGCCTGATTATGTTACTACATTTTCCCTCAATATATTAATTTCTAAGAAAACATTTTGGCTTCTTCCAAGTAAATGACATGACCATTTTCCTTCAATATATTAATTTCTAAGAAAACATTTTGGCTTCTTCCAAGTAAATGACATGACCATACTGTGTCTCATTCTTGACTGAAGATGATGTCCCTAATCTTGTTTCAATTTTCTAAAAAATTATTCTAATTCATCTTTGTTTGTATTTTGTATTTTTGTGATCTACCCAGCTTAGGAATAGGAGGAGATATCACACAAGGAGATATGCAACCTCTAACAAGTACAGGGGGGAATTTTTTGTTTTGTTTTGAGACAGAGTCTCACTAGGCTAGAGTGCAGTGGCACGATCTCAGCTCACTACAGCCTCCAGCTCCCAGGCTCAGATGATTCTCCCACTCTACCCTTCCCAGTAGCTGGGACCACAGGTGTACACCACCACGCCCGACTAATGTTTTGTATTTTTTGTAGGGATGAAGTTTTGCCATGTTGCCTAGGCTGGTCTGGAACTCCTGACCTCTAGTGATCTCCCTGCCTTGGCCTACCAAGTTGCTGGGCCTATGGGCCACCACATCCAGCCCTCAGGGTGAATGTTTGAAAGATCTTTCAGTGGAATATTACGTAAGGCAAGGTGTAGAGAAGATAATGTTTCAGACATCCATATATATTTAAAGCCATGCCAATTTTGAAAGGTTAATAAGATAGGGTGATAAGAGAGGAGGTACCTAACCAACCTGAGGATAGTATAGATTCTCTAAAGCAAACAATTAATGAATCCCAGGAGGAGCAGGATGCTACCAAATAGCTTTCAAATAGTCTGGGAAGCTAGAATTTTTAAGACCCTTTATGTTACCAAACATGAGCTTTATCAACGTGACTGTACCCAAATTCCCCTGAAAATCCTGGAGGTCAGTATTCCTGCCTTTCTGATGAGGAACCTCAGGCTGAAAAATTTCCCCAAATTCCTCACTTACAGTGAGTAAGTGGTGGAACAGCATGTTGAACTTATTATGTCTGACTGCCTTCTTGAGGACCACTAAACATTTTTTATCTGCTCACAGATGGTAGTTTTAAAGCCAGTTATATGATCTAAAGTATGGCACTTACTCCTCTTTGACACCTTCCCTTGAATCTTAGGGGGATAGGCCTCCCTCCATTCCATCCAAAGTCCCTAGGAAGTGCCCCTACTGCTGCTTATTTCACATTTTCTCAGCTGTCTCTCCTCTTTTTCACTCTGCCATCAGACACTGGCTTCCTGATACATACATGCTTTGGCTTCCTGTCATGACTTTGTTTGGCTAGCACGTGTACCCTTGCTCAGTGACTGGTGTCCACGGACACAATTCTTACAGTATTTTCTCATCAGCAATTATGTCCCCTACCCAAGACCCCATCTTTCAAGTTTCCACCCTGATCAGATGGGAATAAAGGTGGAGAAGGAAAGGGTAGCCATCAATGAAAGCAAGCATCTGAGATGAAACATTAGAAATTAGGGCCTGATTTACACATATTACACATTTAAGGGCACATCTTCATTAGATGTTCCAAACCTTTGCTAGTAGTCATTTAATATTCAGTCATTGAGCATCTATTTCATGCTGGAAACTGTTGTATGTGCATTCCAGAACTATCTCCCATGTGGAGAAAACATAAGTATATATATATCTGCAAACATACAACCTCACAAATACATTCATTGTTTTTGATTTTGTATTCCACTCTATATATGAAATTTCAGCATGGATTATATACTTAAAAGTTGCATAAATGATGAATCAGTAATTAAGGAATACAAAGTAGCTGTTTTGATTATTTTTCTATCAAAATTGCTATAGTCTGGAAATTATTCACTTCTAATTAATCCAAATTTAAATGCAATATTAGTGATCTGATTCAGATATTTAAATAAAAGTGATTTCTGTTTTATATATCAGTAGTTTATTGGAACAAAACAAAATAGCACTGAATAAAAATGTGCATGCTAATTAACATGTTAGTTTTACAGATAGCAACTTTCATGTGAGAACTGGTAATGAAAACAAAGTACATTGATGAGTTTTTGTTGACTTTGGGTTAATTATTACCATGGTGTTCACCAGCAGTAAAATAATAAAGTGCACAATGTAGCGTAATTATAAGTTAATCACACTTACATGATATGGAGAAGAAATACCAGTGCCTTTCATTTCACATGGTAGAATTACTTATGAAATTCCCTGGAGGTCCTCTGAATCTTATCTAAAGCATATCCAGACTTGAGCACATATTTACGTAATATATGTGTAATCATTGCAAATTGCCAGTCAGGGTGAGCATGGTTTTATACTTAAGAAGAGAGATGGCCAGGGCGGTGGCTCAAGCCTGTAATCCCAGCACTTTGGGAGGCCGAGGCAGGTGGATCATGAAGTCAAGAGATCGAGACCATCCTGGTCATCATGGTGAAACTCTGTCTCCACTAAAAATACAAAAAATTAGCTGGGCATGGTGGCGCGTGCCTGTAATCCCAGTTACTCAGGAGGCTGAGGCAGGAGAATTGCCTGAACCCAGGAGGCGGAGGTTGCGGTGAGCCGAGATCGCGCCATTGCACTCCAGCCTGGGTAACAACAGCGAAACTCCGTTTCGAAAAAAAAAAAAAAGAGAGAGATAAATTGGTGTAAGAAAAACTCCCAGAACCTAAAATTCTCTCCCAAATTCAGACATGCAACTTTTTAAATAGTTGCATTAATAAATAAATAGTATTGAGAAATTTGAGACTTTTGGCAGGGAATTCGGGTATCACATATATTAAGTTTTTATAACAGTTTAATTGAATTATCTGTCTTAGTTTACTTTGCTTATAACAAATAGTTAATATTATTGTACTAATAAAAAGTAAATGTGGAATAATTATAACCATTTTTGAGGTGAGTAATCTGAGACTCGACTTGCTTACAATTACTTTATTTTTAGATACTGTTAAGATACCTTAACATTTAGAACTCATTTGATTAGATTCTTGATTAGTAACACTCCAAATTCAGTAAACAATATTTGGGAGCTTATAAAAATTCATATTTCCAGGTCCACATTCATTTATTCTGATTCATAAGGGCTAGAGTGAGGCCCTGCCATCACAAGCTATTCCAATGCAGGTTATCAGAAGACTACACTTTTAGAAACACTGATCTATATACAATGATCTCAAAACATGTTTCTCTTTTATCATATATCACTGTTAGCAAATATTTTTCTGCATTTCCTTTAATGTATGTATATTTACATTTGAAATATAACCACATAGCCTATCAACTGATATTTTAATGTAAGTAGAGCTTAGCTTTTTAATAGAGAATTAATAAACGTATTTTTATATTTATTGGTTTAAACTTTTTGTTAACATTGCATAAATGTTGTTTATTTGTGCATATTTTTATATAGGCCATCCTTCTGTATCCATAGAGGATAGATTTCAGAACTCCCAAGGATATCACAATCCACAAATCTCCATGTCCCTGATACAAAATGGCGAAGTGTTTGCATGTAACCTACACATACCCTCTCAGATACTTTAAATCATCTCTAGATTACTTAGAATACCTAATACTATGTAAATGATTGTTGTAGTATATGATTTAGGGATTAAAGACCAGAAAAAAGTCTATATATATTCAATGTAGATGAAACCATCCATTATGTTTTTGAAGATTTTAAATCTGCCTTTGGTCGCATCCATGGATATGGAACTCATGGGTACAGAAGGCCAACTGTATTCAGCAGTGCAATCTATTTTTAAATAGCAGGCTCAAATAGAATCTTAATATCTGCTTGTTGAGTAGTTTAAATTAAAATTCCAAGATTTTTAAAATATAGAGATGTGGTCTTGCTATGTTGCTCAAATTGGTCTTCAACTCTTGGCCTCAAGCAATCTTCCTGCCTCTGACTCCCCAGTAGCAGGAATTATAGTCACATGCCATTGTGCCCACCTAAAAGTTCCAAGAATTTATGAGTTTATTTTTTAAACATTGTAGAGAAAACCATTTATATTAAATGTGTTCTTCAAAAAATGCCTTTTACATCTCATTTTAAAATATACTTTGAAAGATATTCATCTTATAAGCTTCCTATTAGAGAATAATTTTAATGTTATTTCCATCTATACTGCTGTTTTTCTTCTTGAATATGACATTGAAGTGTAACATCTCCTTATTTTTTAATTAGGTCTGGAACATCCCAGGCATCTTGTCACTGATCCTTCCTGGAATAACTTCATCTATGAGAATTCTGCCTTCCGATTTAGTTATTTGCGTCGAACACAAGGTACAGGATTTCTACATTACATTATATCATTCTGTGTTGTTGCATTTCTGAGATAATGAAGTATATGTCTATTGCCTTAGTAAATATTTAATACAAATTGAAAACATAATTTTAAATTTTTGGAATGAATTTTAATAAGCCGATAGAAAAGCATGGAGAGTAAAACTTTTTCTATATTCACTGCATTTACATTATTTTTCATTCTTCAGCACATAAGTAAGATTTGCCAAGTATTTTAACTTTGAAATTTTTCATGGTTGAATAGCATACCACGTAACACATGGTTATATGACTCAAGAAATGTTTCAGAAAATTATAAATAGCGTGCTAAAACTACAAAAGTAGTATCAATAGTTTTAATACTAATAAAAAGTAGTATCAGTAGTTTTAACTACTGTTTTACTGCCAATTTATTATAGGGTATGTATCTATTTGTGCTGTTGCTATATTGTTTTGGTTTGTTTTCTTTTTTGAGACAGAGTCTCACTCTGTCACCCAGGCTGGAGTGCTGTGGCGAGATTTCAGCTCATTGCAACCTCCACCTCCGGGTTGGAGGAATTCTCTGTCTCATCCTCCACAGTAGCCGGGACTATAGACGCACACCACGAGGCCTGGCTAATTTTTGTATTGTATTTTTAGTATAGACAGGGTTTCACCATATTGGTCAGGCTGGTCTCAAACTCCTGATCTCAGGTGATCCACCCACCTCAGCCTCCCAAAGTGCTAGGGTTACAGATGTGAGCCACTGCACGCAGCCTATATCTATTTCATATATATATATATATATATATATTTTTTTTTTTAATTGCATTTTAGGTTTTGGGGTATGTGTGCAGATTATGCAAGATACTTGCATAGGTACACACATGGCAGTGTGTTTTGCTGCTGTCTTCCCCTTCACTCACATTTGGCATTTCTCCCCAGGCTATCCCTTCCCCCTTCCCCCCCCGCTGTCCCTCCCCTATTCCCCCCAGTAGACCCCAGTGTGTAGTACTCCCTTCCCTGTGTTCATGTGTTCTCTTTTTTCATCACCCACCTATGAGCGAGAATATGCGGTATTTCATTTTCTGTGCTTGTGTCAGTTTGCTGAGAATGATGTTCTCCAAATTCATCCATGTTCCTACAAAGGACACAAACTCATCCTTTTTGATTGCTGCATAATATTCCATGGTGTATATGTGCCACATTTTCCCTATCCAGTCTATCGTGGATGGGCATTTGAGTTGGTTCCAGGTCTTTGCTATTGTAAACAGTGCTGTATTGAACAATCATGTGCATGTGTCCTTATAGTAGAATGATTTATAGTTTTTTGGATATATACCCAGTAATGGGATGGCTGGGTCAAATGGAATTTCTATTTCTAAGGCCTTGAGGAATTGCCACACTGTCTTCCACAATGGTTGAACTAATTTACACTCCCACCAACAGTGTAAAAGTGTTCCTATTCCTCCACATCCTCTCTGTTGTCTCCAGATTTTTTAATGATCACCATTCTAACTGGTGTGAGATGATATCTCAATGTGATTTTGATTTGCATCTCTCTAATGACCAGTGATGATGAGCATTTTTTCATTTGTTTGTTGGCCTCATGTATGTCTTCTTTTGAAAAGTATCTGTTCATATCCTTTGCCCATTTTTGAATGGGCTTGTTTGTTTTTTTCCTGTAAATCTGTTTGAGTTCTTTGTAAATTCTGGATATCAGCCCTTTGTCAGATGGGTACACTGCAAAAAATTTTTCCCATTCTGTTGGTTGCCGATTCACTCTAGTGACTGTTTCTTTTGCTGTGCAGAAGCTGTGGAGTTTTATTAGGTCCCATTTGTCTATTTTGGCTTTTGTTGCCAATGCTTTTAGTGTTTTGGTCATGAAGTCCTTGACTACTCCTATGTCCTGAATGGTTTTGCCTAGATTTTTCCTCTAGGGTTTTTATGGTGCCAGGTCTTATATTTAAGTCTTTAATCCATCTGGAGTTAATTTTAGTGTAACGTGTCAGGAAGGGGTCCAGTTTCTGCTTTCTGCATATGGTTAGCCAGTTATCCCAACACAATTTATTAAACAGGGAGTCCTTTCCCCATTGCTTGTTTTTGTCATGTTTATCAAAGATTGTATGGTTGTAGATATGCTGTGTTGCCTCCAATGCCTCTGATCTGTTCCATTGGTCTATATCTCTGTTTTGGTACCAGTACTATGCTGTTTTGATTACTGTAGCCTTGTAGTATAGTTTGAAGTCCGGTAGTGTGATGCCTCCCGCTGTGTTCTTTTTGCTTAGAATTGACTTGGCTAAGCGGGCTCTCTTTTGGTTCCATATGAAGTTCATGGTCGTTTTTTCCAGTTCTGTGAAGAAAGTCAATGGTAGCTTGATGGGGATAGCATTGAATCTGTAAATTACTTTGGGCGGTATAGCCATTTTCATGATATTGATTCCTCCTAACCATAAACATGGAATGTTTCTCCATCTGTTTGTGTCCTCTCTTATTTCATTGAGCAGTGGTTTGTAGTTTTCCTTGAAGAGATCTCTTACATTCCTTGTTAGTTGTATTCCTAGGTATTTTATTCTTTTTGTAGCAATTGTGAATGGCAGTTCGTTCTTGATTTGGCTCTCTTTCAGTCTGTTATTGGTGTATAGGAATGCTTGTGATTTTTGCAGATTGATTTTGTATCCTGAGACTTTGCTGAAGTTGCTTATCAGTTTCAGGAGTTTTTGGGCCGAGGTGATGGGGTCTTCTAGGTATACTATCATGTCGTCTGCAAATAGGGACAATTTGGCTTCCTCCTTTCCTATTTGAATACCCTTTATTTCTTTTTCTTGCCTGATTGCTCTGGCTAGAACTTCCAGTACTATATCGAATAGGAGTGGTGAAAGAGGGCATCTTTGTCTAGTGCCGGATTTCAAAGGGAATGCTTCCAGGTTTTGCCCATTTAGTATGATATTGGCTGTTGGTTTGTCATAAATAGCTTTTATTACTTTGAGATATGTTCCATCAATACTGAGTTTATTGAGGGTTTTTTAGCATAAAGGGCTGTTGAATTTTGTCAAAGGCCTTTTCTGCATCAATTGAGATAATCATGTAGTTTTTGTTTTTGGTTCTGTTTATGTGGTGAATTACATTTATAGACTTCCGTATGTTGAACCAGCCTTGCATCCCCGGGATGATTCGTACTTGATCATGATGGATAAGTTTTTTGATGTGCTGTTGCAATCGGCTTGCCAGTATTTTATTGAAGATTTTTGCATCTATGTTTATCATGGATATTGGCCTGAAGTTTTCTTTACTTGTTGAGTCTCTGCCAGGTTTTGGTATCAGAATGATGTTGGTCTCATAAAATGATTTGGGAAGGATTCACTCTTTTTGGATTATTTGGAATAGTTTCAGAAGGAATGGTACCAGCTCCTCTTTGTGTGTCTGGTAGAATTCGGCTGTGAACCCATCTGGACCTGGGCTTTTTTTGTGTGGTAGGCTCTTAATTGCTGCCTCAACTTTTGCCCTTGTTATTGGTCTATTCATAGTTTCTGCTTCCTCCTGGTTTAGGCTTGGGAGGACACAGGTGTCCAGGAATTTATCCATTTCTTCCAGGTTTACTAGTTTATGTGCATAGAGTTGTTTGTAATATTCTCTGATGATGGTTTGAATTTCTGTGGAATCTGTGGTGATTTCCCCTTTATCATTTTTTATTGCATCTATTTGGTTGTTCTCTCTTTTCTTTTTCATCAATCTGGCTAGTGGTCTGTCTATTTTGTTGATCTTTTCAAAAAACCAGCTCTTGGATTTATTGATTTTTGGAAGGGTTTTTCATGTCTCTATCTCCTTCAGTTCTGCTCTGATCTTAGAAAATAAATAGCAATAAGTGCCCATATGAGAAGAGTGGAGAGATCCAAAATTGACCCCCTATCATCAAAATTGAAAGAGCCAGAGGAGCAAGATCAAAAAAACTCAAAACCTAGCAGAAGGCAAGAAATAACTAAGATATTTCTTCTATATATTAACCACCCTACCTGTCCATTAATGAATAGGAAAAATTCTAAGAAATAATGAAGTTTCTTAAAAATTTAAAGCTACAAAATTATGAATTTGATTAACAATAATAATGTTTTAAAATTACAAAACAATTGTTTTGGTGGTAAATATAAAGTATGAATTATCTTAACATAATTAATACAAAAAGACTAACTGAAACCAATAACCATTACTAACATATCAAGAAGAAAAGGTTAATTTTGCTTAAATTTTCTATAGCCATTTATAAAACTTTCTAAATGTCATTAATTCAATTCATTTGATACAACTCCAAGGTACAGGTGTTATTACTACTCTCATTGAATTATGGAGAGTGCAATTCAGAAAAATTAACTGATACAGAAGCAAAATAATTGCTTAATAACAGACCTGAACCTTTTTATGTTTCAACTTTGCAATGCATTAAAAGGAGTATGAACAACAGTTCACAAAAGAGAAAGTATGAATGGCCAAAAAATGGTTTAAAATATGTTCAATATCATTAATAATCAGATATTGATTTTTATTTAAATGACCATGTAGATTTTTTCCTTTTTTAAGTTTGTTTTTGTCTTTTAATGAAACTATAACTGCTAATGTTTCTATAGTGTGATTGGAATAATCAAACAGTGTTTGTGGGAATACAAATTACCTATTACATGGCTTTTGGAGAGTACCGTGTGTAATGTAGAAATAGAAACTTTGCAACTATCATTCTTTTGACCTAGTAATGCCAATTCTGTTGGTCGAAATGTAAGGTAGTACAACTGCTGTGGAGATCAGTTTGGAGGTTCTTCAGGAAACTAAAACTAGAGCTACCATGTGATCTAGCAATCCCATTGCTAGGTATATATGCTAAAGAAAGGAAATCAGTATATTGAAGAGATATCTGTACTCCCATGTTTATTGCAGCACTATTCACAGTAGCCCAGATTCAGAAGTAACCTAAGTGTCCATCAACAGACAAATGGATAAAGAAAGTATGGTACATATACACAATGTAGTAA